ATCGAATAGTTTCTATAAACGTTCTTCAAAGTATTCGTGGGTGTACAACACTCTTCTGTGGATTATAATGTTAAGTTTATATTGAGAAAGAGAGAGATGACTTTTGGTGAACACGGTAATTGGATTATTGTTAGTAATATAGTAATAAATAAATGATAATAAATATTGCAAACTCTTGTAAAGAAAGTAATTTATAAAAATCTATATGTATGCAAAAATATATTTGTTACATATAGAGTAATAGATTTTACTGATTATTTATAATACATTTTTATCAGCAAACCGTTGGAAATATCATACTGACTGAACATTATCGATTAAATACTTGCGTATTATTAGTAAACATGTACAGAATTTGTCATATGAAATTTAATTAATTTTTTCCAAGTGTTAAAAGAAACCTCTTAATTGATTAGAGGAATCACTATATTTATTTGTCAATTATATTTCCTTGATTGTGTATTCATTTGAAACTCAATGAAAAGTTTCAATAAATAGTATTTTTGTAAGAAATTTAAATTATTTTTATAACTGTCATATTAATTGTTCATAAACTCTACTAAATACATTTTAATCGCAAAATGTTATTGTATAATGATTATTTGTTCTGTGATATATATATATATATGTTCTTCAAAATATTAATTCATAGTGCTTGCAAGTACTTTTGTTATTACAATATTGTTCTAGAATAATCTTTGAAACCATATTATTTATTACAGAAATATAATTTTCAACAAATGAAATTTCCTTAAGCACCTTATTTTTGAAATTTGTTATTAAAATATTTCTTGGCTCTGTGCTGTTCAAACTTTAATCGAAAATAATTATAATTATACAGGGTGCCTTGACAATGGTAATGCAAGAATTAAGATATAATTTTAAATGGAAGGACGAATTGAAAGCGTAGAATACAATTTCTTCGTAAGAAAAGTTCCCTTTTCGAGAAAATCGAATTAAAAAAATGATCCGGCACGCCTGCATTTAGCTGTCTGCAATTAATTCAAACTCGATCTTTTTAAAAACGTAATCCCAAATAGAACAATTTTATTTTACATTATTCACTTATTCTAAACGCTATACAAGTGTACATATGCATTATTCACCTAGCAACCGACAATATTCATCTTTAATTTCCTCGAGAAGAAGATTCCAAATGAGAGAATTTAATTGAACATCGTCGACTTATTTTTTCATATAAAATTGCACCAGCCCAAGTTAAATCGGAAATTACAAGATACCCCGTATAAGTATTTCAAGCATATCATTCGGTTACATTTGCAATACTTTTACAAGCAACCATCATTCGCTGAATCATGAGGCTGTTCGAAATTTTGCCAAACGTCCCTTAAAGAAAGTGCCCGCATCGAAGCTGCACTTGCGAAGGTACTAACCTTCTCCATTTGCTCGAAGGTCGTGTCAATCTTTCTATTGGGTATAGTTTTGATCTCACTTCCACTTTCACTGCTCGGCCTATAAATAACGCTGCTGTCGCTGGAATTACTCTGGCCGGTGCTATTTGAATTGCTATGCGAGCTCTCGGACATCAGATCCGAAATACTTGGCATCGGTGACACCATTGCTACGGTGCTCGGGTCCAGCTTGCGATGCAAAACGTCTGCCTTCAATTTCGTGGGCGTCGGTACGCCCGGCATGTTGTTTTCCTTCGGCGGTTTCGAGGTGCCTTTCACCAAGGCCGTGGGCTTCGGAATGCTGGAGCCCGGACTGATTCCGGAAGCGGTCAAAGTATTGCTCTGCAACGGGCCATTGATTCCCGAATGCTGTTTACCTGGCCCAAAGTTCAAACCGTTTGAAACTTGGCTCTGGGATGAGATGTTTCCAATATTTTCCAACGCCGTTGAGTTCTCTTGAATGGCAGTTATCTTCCCATCAGATAGTGCTTCTGGACCGTGACCAGGAATAGCCGGAACTGCTCGTTTTTCGGGTGTATTTTCTATTTCCTGCACATCGCTCGTAACTTTGGCCTTCATATTCATGGGTTGGTGCTTGATAAGAGAAGCAACAGTGTCCAATGCACCAGGTTGTTTGTTCGTGTGGACATTGTCCACGATAGACTTCATTTTATCTATAGACGTCTTCTCCTCCGACAAATTCGCTTGATTCATCGACATCGTGTGATCCATGCCCGTGCTATTGTCATGAGCAACGGGGATATCATCGTGATCGGTGTGCCTGATCATTCCATTCGTGTTGCTCATTAATCCTTTCTGCACTAAGAGATCCTTATTCAATCCGTTTGGCGGTGCTTTTATATTTTGTAAATGAATCTTCATGTCGGGTATCTTGCCAGGTAGTTCCATTTTAGGTCTAGGTTGCTGTATAGGTTCGTTCTTAAGGTTGCCAACGTTCTTCGAGTCTTGCGAGTTGATTTGTTTGGCAGGCGCTAGCATTGGCGCAGGCTTATGCAGCTGGCTGGTCGGCTGCTTCAGCAGTTCCTGCAGGTTAGAGGACTTTTTGTCCGCAGCCAGCTTCGTACCCACGCCGCCGATTTTGCTGGCCGACTTGACATCTTCTAGCGGCGGATTGTAGCAGACCAGCTTGTCGGGGCCGCCCTTCGTGCGCGCGATCTTGCTCTGCGCTTTGCTCTGCTCCTTGCGTACGGTTTTCGGGCTCGCCTGCTTCGCCGCTTTGGTCGACTGCAATTTCGACTTCAAAGCCCGGCTCTTCGGCGATTCCACTTGGATCTTGCTCTGATCGCACAACGACGTCGAGCTGTCCGAGTGTTCCGATCTCGCGGACGAGAAGCCCGACGAGCTGGAGGTCCGCTTCGACACGCCCGACGAAGCTTTGCCACGGTCTTGGTTTTTCTCTTTGTTGTTGAAGAGCTTGAATTTATCCAGAACAGAGTTTTTATTCTGTTGAGTCGGCGCACCAGTGTTCGCGTACGGGGAGGGCTGCGCGGTCCTCGCGCCGCTGGATTTGCCCACTGTTGACGCTCGGGGGCTGAAATGTTCGGTAAAAATTCATTACTATGTTTGTTGGTTGAATGGTTGATGGTTTATATGATAAATAGAATAAGTCAAATCGGAGGAAACTATTTTGATTGCATTAAACTTAAATTAACAATTTTACACGTGGAAATACTTGAGATTTATGTACTAATGAAAATAATTCGCGTTTATGTCTATATTAAGTCGAGAAAACTTGCCTTCGAAACAGGTTAACTTATCTATGTACTTAAACATTTCCGATGCTGTTTGTCAAAAGGAACATTTCTGTTCATTTAAAGTCGATTTTCCAGTATTAATTTGGAAGATTTATATAATAATAAATAATGTCTTTTGACATATTGTAAATAACAGAAGTAACATACTGTTAATGTTTAGTAACTAGTGAAATTTCTTAGTCATTCCGGGGTTAAAATAGTTCGAATAATAACGAAGGATATAAATAATTTTTAAACATAGAATGATAATATAATAATAAAAAGACATGTGAGCAGATCGAGATTATTTTTGTATGCAAACTATGTTGGTTATTTGAAAATCTAAGTAGTGCAAACTATTAAACTAACACGTTAAAATTATGATTATTAAAAAATAAGATTTTCATATACATGATCTGTATTATCTGAATAAAAATAAATTTATTATTAGTTAAAGTATGAAAGACGTGTAAAGTCTCATCATTCCTATTAACAGAAGCCAAATAAATATTTTATAATTTTCTTTAATTTTCTGAAATAAGCTATACGAAGTTACAAAACTATTTTATTACTAAATACTATCTGCTAATTTCTTACTGTTAAACTTATATTTATACGATACACAGTGCTTCGTATTACAGTACGATATCACGGACAGTGTATGCTTATATAGTGTCTGGAATACGCTATCCCGAATGAGCTACATCACGAAGACGAACGTGTTAAATTAATATTGTGTTTCAAAGGAAAATGGTGTACCTAGGGGTAGTGGTTGTCGGTTGTCTGTTCGTTGAATTTTGACTTCTGGGCTGAGGAATAAAGGACAGACCACTTTGCGGCGGCTGCTGTTGGCTTGGGCTCGTGCTTCTGGAACTGCTAGCACTTCCGATGCCCCCGTTCCCGTGCTTCAAACCTAAAACCAGAAAATTGATATCTTAGTCCTTAGTTGCAGCGTAAATATAACAAGAACACTTATTAAAAAAACTTCAATTCTGTCTAAGTGAAACCAGTAAGTTTAGTACACTCAAATCATTATTACAGTTTATATCAAATAATTCATTTAATATGATTGCCTACTATTTCTATAGTATCGCACCTTTATACTTTGTTGACCTAATACTATATCAGTAATATTAAACGTTCTAGATTAGTTTCAATAAATTGTAATATTTACAATTGTTAATTTTCAAATGTGCAATTTGATTTCTGAATAAAAGAGGAATCAATTGTTTTACAAGTTGGTATTGTTGCTAACAAGTTGATACTACTTATACTTCCTATACAAAAAGGCAATAAGAATGAAAAGAAAGGTTCAAAAATCGAAAGTGGTTAATTAATGATAAGTAATAACGTGCAATAGAAGAAATGTATTTTCTTATGTTCGGAACTACGTTCGACAAAAAATTAAAGAAAAGATCATCCAATTAATACACATTATAATGAATTTATCTCCAGTGATAAGAAAATACACGTGAAAGTTATTAACATTAATAGAAAACTCTTTTAATATAGAAATTCAATTCCGGTGCACATATTAATATTAATACTGCTCCATAAGGAATTATGCAGAAATGCGGCCATCAAGAGAAATTAATCAAATAAATCTCGATTATCAGATAAATTGATCCTTATTACACCCGGTAAACTCCATTTCGACCAATCAGAGTATTAATATTACACGTTCATTATATTTCATATAATACAGATCACCATTGTCCGCGTTGACAGGAATAATAGACACGTTTTAATAATCGGGAATCGTTGCGAGACTACTCGCAACATTTAATTAAACGATCGCCGGTGAACGCTCGTAAATATTTCCAGTCCTCTCCTATTAGATTTACACTGTCATTGGCCGCGACTCAATAAAACGATGATCGGTTGGCTCATTAAGCATGCACAGTCGGAACACTGTGGCCGGCTTAAACTCGTCGGTTGCGTCTGGCAAGTATACGTTGTTTGTAGACGAAATAAACGACAGACTCTGTATACGGTTCGTGTACGTGATAGCGTGCATTCACCACGCAAGGAGATTAATCTACTGGTCCGCGTTGCTCAATCCGTCACTACTGCGCTCGCAGACATTGTTTCTACAGAGTAATTTGCATTATCGTGGGACAAGGTTGTAACGCACTCACGTCACATTAATAGATCATCTTCGCCGAACTGTACCACGCTACGGGGTATAATGGAGCCGGATCACCCTTTGGCCAATACGATCAACAGAGTGATTTTAAATCACTATGATTCGATAAATGAACCTGATGTTTTGATTCGCTTAAGTTTAGATGATGGGTCGAGTCGTGTGTGCTGATCAAAGACTTATTACGTGAATATCTGCTGGATGAAATCGATTCAAATTGGAGTATTGAAGGACAAATACGTAATCTTTTATATTTCATCCGTTTATTTAGAAGGCGACTTGAACTTATTTTTCAAAATCACCACGTTATTGTTAATAATAATCACAGTTATATTATCGTTTCATTTTTAAATGGTTTTTTCTCTTTTTTTGAAACATACTTCCGCCGACTTATCTGACTCATCTCATGTAAGATAACTTAGTAAAGGGAAAGTCGAATGCTGGTCGTCTGCGTTTCGTCAGTCGGTGCCTTCTTAAAGGAAAGCGTCCTCAAGTCTCGGGGCGTAATGAACAGAGCGAGAGCTGCACTGATAAGAGGGGGTCCTGCGTCCTCCTAAACAGAGCCCTTTTCTCAGCATTCTTTTTGTAGTCTCCGAGCGTAAAATTGCAGTAAAAAGAATATATTCCAACAAGTTTTCACCATTTTACTTTACGCGTAGAAAATCCTGTCTTACACTTGATATTTAATTTATTATTGGTAAAATACTTCGAATTCATCTGAAGATGTTTTCAATTAAAACGTTTTTAGAAATTGTTCCTTACATTTATAATTTTATTAACTGTACATATTTTTATAAAAAAGTTTAGGAATGTTTAAGCTAACGACAATATTTTAAGTTAGACTGTACGGGGAATCTAAATTGTCGTAATGAAGATCTGTGGATAAATCGTAAGCTAGATTATGAAACAGCTGCGTTATCTCGGGCTACGTTGCGACCAGCTGTCTGAAATCATGCAATTTATTGCCCGCGTCAATGGTGCTGCAAACCCATAATTAGTACACGGTCGAAGTGATTTATCTGTGAGGTGTTTAGAAAGATAGCAAAAGCGAAACAGGAGAACTTGGCATCTGGAAGATGGCAAAGATAATGTCGCACATTAATTTTTAGTGCTGCTGTTTTCAACTTTTTACGATCTGTATCTATAATTGACTTCGCATATAGATATTTAGGAAACTGGATGAAGAAATTAATTCATTAGTTATCAAAATAATAAATTAATTAAGTAAATACTGGAATTATAAATTAATTACTGGCGTTGGAAATTAATTAGATAATTAATTACTGGTATCTCAAATTAATTAAGTAAATTGTGTAGATCTGCAGACATACATGTTTATGAACAGACATATTTACGTGTATCATATCAATTTTTACCAATAAATATTATTTAAATTTTTATTGGTAAAAATTGGTATTTCGACGACCATTTATTTAACACAATCATTCTCATAAACACGTGTTCACGTGGTTTGACAAAACCTAGACAATTTAATTCGATTAAAATGGAAGATTCTATTACAAAAACTAATTAAGAAAATCAGACGAGTTGTCTGCAATTAAATCAAAATCTATATACAGCAAAATAACGTTTAATCACGCGCCGAGCTTGCTTTACGCACGAAGTACTTTAATTATTAGGTTGGTGCGTATGAAATGTCGGATTTTTAAGTGAATATATAAAACTGTATCTTTTTTCAAAAGCTGTTTATTTAATTAAAATATGCTCCATTTACTTCAATACATTTTTCCCAGCGAGATTTTAATGTATAAATGCCTGTCTTAAAGAAATTCTGATCTTTAGAATCAATAAACTCTCATATGGAATTTTTCAGGCTGTCTTCATTTTCATATTGTTTAGCTCGTAAAAACTGTTCTAAATGTATAAGAAAATGAAAGTCGGTTGGTAAAAGGTCCGATGAATAAGCTGGGTGCTGCAAAATGTCATATTTTTATTCATTTAATTTCGTAATTGTTTTGTACGACGTATGCGGCCGAGCGTTGTCGTGGAGAAGTATTGATCCATGCCGATTAACAACTGATAGGCGTATAATTTTCAATTTTTCATGCACTTCATCAATGTAGTGACAGTACTTTTCGGCTGTAATTATCTCCCCAGTTCGAAGGAATGAGTAGTGAATTACTCCAGTCACATTCCACCAAACTGTTATTAAAATTTTCTGTTGGTGAAGTGATGGCTTTGGAGTATGAGCACAAGCTTTATCTCTATCAAGCCATCGAACACACCTTTTCCTATTGTCGTAAAGAACCCATTTTTCATCACAAGTAATAATCCGATCGAAAAATGGCACTCGATGAAGTCGGGTTAGTAATGATGAGTATACGTTCAATGGATTCAGCTTATTTTGCTAGGTTAGTTCCTGCGGTACCCACTTATCTATTTTTTTCACCTTGCCAATTTCAGAAAGGTGTCGCAATATTGTTGTATGGTCAGCTTTCATTCTGGTAGCAAGTTCCCTTGTAGATACAGTTGGATTCGTTCCCATCAATGCTTTCAGAGCATCATTTTTCACAGACGTTTGGGTCTTCCACAGGGCTCATTTTGTAGGGAAAAATTACCAGACTGAAAATTTTTAAACCAACGTTGCACTTTTCGATCGTTAACAGTATTCTCCCCAAACGCTTGGTTTAAATTGCGCGCAGCTTTTGCAGCATTATTGCCAAGTTTATACTCATATAAAAAAATTATAGGAATATCGGTTGAATTCATATCGGTATAAAATTCAAAACAAATAACAAAAAGGAACACTTTTGAGAAAATTTTCTTTGTTGAAATGTGACTCTGACAATGGATAGTACGACTATAAACGAGGTTATGCCAAAAACAAAAGCATAACCAAAACAGGGTGACATGTAATGTAAAACATGTAAGGTAAAACCGACATTTCATATGCACCAACCTAATAGAACCAAATATGTTACGCTTAGAAAGCGATATTTAAATTTTTTTCAAAAGAATTTATCATTATCTGTACAAAGTTTTGGTTATAACGAAAAAAGATGTTGTTTCTACAAAAAGAAGTTTCTAACAAGAATCAATGATTAACTGGCCCATAGATAAGAACATTTTTTTAATAAAACGACCAGTAAAAAGTTCAAATTCAGAAATTGGTCGTAAAAAATTGTATCTGATGAATTCCGGAATTATCCATTATTTAGTGGAAAGTTCGTGTAGGAGAATGAAAGGGGAAAAACATTAGCTTCCTGTAATATAACACGGATAAAACCATACCGCGTGAAATAACATCTGCAATACAAAAATTTAAATATCGAATCATATCCATTTTGTCGACACATGTTACCCACATTATTATTTCATAGAAAATAGAGACACCATTTTATGCAATATATTTACCTAAAAATTTTATGTACACCTTCCAAATTAATTACTGGAAACCGCTGTTTCATTATGAGACTACCATTCAGAGTTTCTTTGTTCATTATATAAAACAGTGTATCTACTCAAGTATCTACTCAACACATTCTTTCCTTTTCTCTATTAGAAGCATTATGAAATAATATTTTACGGAAGGTGTACATTAATGAAAATTTTAATAAGGATTGAAAATGACTATCTATAAATCTGCCGGATTATTGCTTATCAGTTAGTGGTTCAATGATCAATAATTAATACGTAGAACACGTCAGAAACGTTAATTATAAACGATAATGATAACGGTGTTCATACAATAACAGATCTGCCGTTACAACTCATCAAACTGTCAATCAAAGACTCTATGCATATAACTT